TCGCCTTGGTCATGAAATGAAGACAAGCTTGATGGGGTGTGGCAATATCAAAGTGTCATTAAATTGTGTTCACGATTTTTCATACAACAACAACAAGTGTTCCTGGTCAAAAACGAGTATCATAAAGAAAATGCCCACGGAAATGGTAGGAAGACGACTGATATCCGAAAGGGTTAACTGAAAGATGGGCAACGTACATCTAATGGGCAGGGTGCCCAGGTTGGGAAAAGCAAAATGAAACCCCGACATAATGAAGCAATAATAAAGAAGGAAGGGCTTGTCTCCGCAGTGCATTTGGGAAGGTCTGTAAAAAGTTATCAAATGGCTGAATGAGGTAGTGTATCGAGTCCGAACCATTATTGGCATTATTCGGAAGGCTCGGGTTCAAATCCCCGAGCGACCAACATTCAAACGTTGTAGAAAATCAATTTAAATAAAAAATCAAGTTAAATTTTTTAAATGCGGTCGCCCCTCGGCAGGAAACATCAACCCCTTCGAGTATATTTCTGACATGAAATAAAGGTTCCTCGTAAAAAACAACCATCAGCCGTTCGGAGGCGGCTTAGTATAAACTGAAGATCCCTCCATTTGTTGGAAAAACATCAAGATGCAAAAGGACAAATCGGAACAGGAGCTTGGCCGAAAAATCGCGCCAGGGGTTACAAAGCGCCAAATATATATATATATATATCCAGATTTGTAAAATCATGAATAGTTCACTTTTTTCAAGCGGTGATCCCACTCCAGAACACAAAAATTAACTTAATTTTTCTCAAAGGTCTTCAAAGTAGCCTAATTCAGTGTAGACCCTATTCATTATCGAGAGTAAAGCCTCGAATGAAATCGCTTTACCTTTTTTTACAATTGTTTTTTTTATCAAGGGACTGTTTTACGAGGTCCTGTCTTTTTTTTAGACTTGTAATGGCTTCAGTTCTTGCGAAATTTAATTTTTTTTTGTAAAACTAAAAATTATATATTTTTTATATGTATCGTATTTAAGTGCGCTGAAACCCTGCCCGACCCAATTAAAATTTTATTTCAAAATTTGTTAACAATAAAAAGCACGAGTAATAGTATTAGCCATGATAGTAAAAATTTGATTTGAATGTAGCTCTTATAAATATAAAAAATAAGTGATTTTTTCTACATTTTTGGCCGAAATGCGCTAAAACGCTGTTCATGGATGCGGCTGAGCATTGAGAATTTCAATACCAAACCTCTAAAGCGTCTACATCTTATTCTTATTGCAAAATATGCTAGCATATGTTAATGAAATTTTCCCGCTTCCCTATTTTTTTTTTTAAACTATATTTATAATTAAATTTCAAATTATTTGCAAACACTTTATACTGAGCTTGTTATTATATTATTATTAATGTTTTTTTTTAGTATTTTTTTAAATTTTTTAGTATTTTTTTAAATTTTTTTTTTTTTTTTTTGAAATTACCATTTTTTTTTTTTAAATGCACTCCGGTACTTTTTTTTGCTTTTGTCATTACTTCACATAATATAATTTGAAAATAAAATTAAATTAAATTGAAGTATTCTCCTTTTGCACTCTAACCACAAATTATTATTCGCAAAAATACGGTATAATAATTAAATTTTATTTGGAAAATTTTTTTCTTCATATTCATGACTTAAATGTTAATATTAAACATGCAATTAATATGATAACAGAAGAATATGCACATACATTGACACAGCAGACGCACATAGATAAAATCAGACAATCACACAAGAATACATACTTTAAGACATTATATTGCAAGCAAAAAAAAGCAACGTTTTAATTAAAATTTTTAATTATTAGTATAAAAACAAATTTGCCCAAATTTACATGGAAACTTATTTTTTATGCTAAAATGCATTTACCCTCTTTGCATTGTATAATTTTGTAATTTATATTCGAATCTAATATCTGCTAGTCGAAATAGTTGTATGTTTTTATTTTAGAGAAAAAATTCAAATTTTTATTTAAATTTTTTCAGTATCAAAAATTTCACAAACTTCACTCAAATAACCGTTTGCTGCTATATTTTACGTATTTCAACATCATTTCAATATTATTTGAATTTCACGCGTGAACGCTTGCGACACTTTAACCGACTAATGACGGAATGATATTTGCGAACGCACTCAAAGTGAAGAAGAGCATGCATCAACGCAGCTGCGAACACACAAAAAACGTCGCAGTCACTACAACAGAGCAGAGCAGCGATGTAGCGCATCCATGTGAGCATCTCATTCATGAGTTATAGTGGGTTAAAGGAATGTTATAGCAATGTAATTGACGTAGGAAAAGGCTAACAAAAATAACAAACAACAACAAAATAAATATTAAGAGCAGTAATTATAATAACAGCAACAACAACACTAATAAAAATATCAGCTGTAACCAAAATATATAATATAACAATAACAATCTCAACAGATACTCACTACTCAAGTGATGCCAAATAACAGCGGTTTCTTCTCTCACACCTCAATAACAACACAGATATATGTAACAGCTGTATTATTTATCTCTGTTGTTTTTGTCTCATAACAGCATCTGTCCATTGCCCACTGTTAGCACTCTCATTTCTCATGATGACGACGAGAATGATAAAATTTTATGGTTATAATGATAAGAAAGCTTGCTCTCACACAAAAAAATATTACTCATACGACATGGTGTACTAAAGTTTTTCACATGCTCGTATGTGCTCAGTGCAAATATATATTTGGTCGTAAATTTTAAACTTTCTACACACTCAGCAAAATAAAACATTTGAACCTAATAATGTTATCAAGAGAGAGAAATGAGAGGGTGAAAGTATTTACTCTTCCTCAAACAAATTACAACACCACGTAAAGTTGGAAAACGACCTGTTGCTGACGATTTTGTAAGTGTTGAACTCAAATAGAACTGTATTTTTTTAAATATGTAACTGTACGTGTCTTATATACATATGTACATTTCTTTTTATTTATGTACTTCACCACACATGTGCGTGTTTGCGGACGCGTATGCTTCCAAGGATTAATAGCTTCACACTGACTTTAAAGACAGATATGTATGGTGTCAGCTCCGCAATGGCGTATGTTATTGTCCAAGTATTTTTTGTGCTAATACGAAGGTGAGGTGATTTTGATAAATGCATTTCAATAGCTCGAAATGGCTTTAAGTGTTCCAAAAAGAAAATTATAATTTAAAACTGTTGCAGCTGTTGAGTTAAAGATCGTAAGGCGTTGAGTATAGTACATCCGATTTAGAAAGATACCGGCTTCCCCGAATCATCAGTTGTTGTCATCGTTCTTGCCTCCGCAGCACATATCAAGACGGGATTGATGAGCGGCTTGTAGAGTTTGGTCTTTGTTTCAGGCCAAAGTTGCAGCTATTAATAAGAGTGATTCCTCGTTGGATTTAAAGGCTGATGTTGTTGTTGGTGTTAATATTCATACCAATAACGTCCAATCTTCGGACATACTTTCATCCGACAACATTTTCTAGAGAAGCTGATGCTTTCAACTTCTTAGTTCTTAACCTTCGTGTTTGAATAGCTCGGCCGACATTGCATCGGTTTCCGCCGCTTTACACCTTCGCTGCGATTCAGCTGCCTGAAGAATTGTTCCCTACATTAATTCGGTGAACTCCGGATATAAGTCCCTACCATTACCGCTGCCGACCAGCTTTTCAACCTCTTCATACTAATACATCTCGGCACTTGCGTCTTGCTTCTCACTTGCGTCTTGCTTCCCTCTTCGGTGCGCGGTATCTTTCTCTCCCCGCACATGTAGTGGTCTGTCGGAACGTTGCAAGGTAGGCAGCCTGCTCAGCTTTCTCTTAATTGCGGCTCGCAACCCTCATCGCACCTGCTGGCGAGACGTTCATCCACCGGAATGGATGTTAGTAATCGACGACGAAGTTTTTCTCCCACCACCAGCCTTTATTCTTATGAGGATATCAACCAGCTGGACAGCGCCAACATCCCAATCAAGGGATTAGACCCTGGCCTTCCGAATGTCAGTTGGATAGAAGTTCTTATCCGAGGCTTTGGTAATTTTTTTATTGGAGCTGATTTCCACGTGGCCCAGCCACAACGTCGCTATTTTGAAGTTGATAACTTACAATTCTTATGGCTGAGTTGAGCATGAATTGTGCTTTCTCCAGACTAGATCTAATAGATAACCTTAATAAGATAATTTCAGTTGTATTGGAATATAACAGGTCTGGAAAGCTCCTTGATATGTTTATCCAACGATAAATCTTGAAACACAGGGCCCATTTCTAATTTATAAACCTATTTCATAATAGAGGGCGGTAAGTCTTCTCGCTTAACCAATCTCGCTCTCTTTATCTCTCTCTCTCTCTCTTGTCCCTAATTTTAATCTGGAGAGAACTGCGACGCTTCTTCTCGAAGCTGCAACCTAATAGAGTCCAAAAGCAGCTTTAAGAAGATTAGAGAAAGGATATGAGGGCACTCACTCTACTAGCTTAAAATCTAGAACAGATGGTCAAACGGAAATTTGTCAACCTGGGATGGCAAGCCTACATCAAAGTTGGGCTCAATTTACAAGTAATAGATATTACATGTATCTGTAAAATACTTTTATAAAACTTCGATCAGTTTTTTAGGGTATAAATAAATGGTTAGTACTATCCGACTCATACATATATATTATATATATAATTGGCACTTTCCTTCAACTATTTAACGTGATTTAGTTATCACTGATGTGCAAAATACTGTCAAATGCCATCCTTTGAAAGTAAATGCTAACTTCAAGGTAAGGTATTTATATCCCACTTCTGACAGTGTAATGATTTTAATAGAGAAATAGTAGATCTATCACATTCTGGTATCTACTACACCTTTAAAAAATTAATATTTTCATCTCCAATTGCCATCATTTTATAGCAATTTTTATAAGATTTCATTTTACCGTTTTCAGAAAGTAGAATTATTATTTTTTTCAAATCTCATAAAATGTTTACTTTTATTTGCATATTTTAAATAAGTGTATCATTGTTTTAATTATAAATTAATTAAGTAATTTTCCTAAATTAGCAAATTTTCGTATAGTATGAGTATGTTGCAAAATGGAATTGAAATTATATTTTTTCTACAAAAATTTTTTTTTTATTTAATACATACATTTTGCGTTGGAATTTTTAAATGAACTATATTTTTAATATTATATGTAAATATAAATAATCAGTGTATATAAATAACGCAAGAGTTTCACGTAATCCTCAGCTTAGCGACAATTAATTGAAACTTTTTGTAGTTACATAATTTTAATTTAAAAAATTGTTTCGTTAAAATCTGAGTATGCAATTACATAAATTGTTCTCTTTTACGCATAAATACTCTCTTTCTCTCTACCTTGCTAAGTTATTTATACAACTACTATCTACATACTATTTTAATTTCGACGAATTGACTTTAAATGCTGCTGTAATTGTTCGCAACGTTGGCACTCCTTGGTCAGTTGTTTCACAGCGGCCGCATAATGACGCTGCAGTTCGTGTAAGCTTTGTAGCTCTGTAGTTAGCGCATCACGCCGGGCACACTCTTCGTTGTACTTCTGACGCACTTTCTGTTCGGTTTGCTTCACACCAGCCACAATCGCTTCAAATTGTTTGATAAACTCTTCACGACCTTGTGCACTTGTCATGCCCTCATTGTATGCTTCACATATGGAATTGAGTAGCGAGAGTTCTTTTTCGAGATAACGTTTTTTGTCGTTGAGCGTATTGAATAAGGTGTAGTACTGTTTCGTCTCTATATGTTTGGCACTCACTGGTGAACACCCAAAAAACAAGAATATAATTTAAGAAAAATTTTATGATTTATTTTATAGAGTACATACTTTCATTGTATAGCTCATGGAATCTTCGTTGATATTGCGTCAATTCTGTATGATCGGGTATGGCATCTAAACGTCGTTGTATGGCGACAATACCGCGATTCTTTTTAGCTATCTGCAACTTCAATTCCTTTATATGTGCTTTTTCTTTTGCCACGGCAGCTTCTTGTTCTTCTGGCGTTTGTGCGTTAAAGGCTTCTAGTTCACTGGAACAAAAGTAATTGGAAATATTCAGCTAGTATGGTATTCATGTCTTCTTAAGATCGCTAGCCTTATGTATATACACATGAATATCTGTATATCTATATAATACGGACTTTTTTAACCGCTAAAGCGATTTTCAGCTTCTAGACTTACTCAATCTGTTTTTGCAATTTTGCCAAATCCTGCCGACAGAATTCTTTAAACTCCGCTTCTTCCTTTTTCAGTAGGTCATGCTGTTTGAGCATATCGTGCACTTTCGTAACAAGCCTAAAATAGCATACGACAATTACAATAAATTGTTTCTATGCTTTCTTTAATTTCACTCACTCTGGATCCACTTTTGCTTCAATTGTTTTGTACTGTTCAATTTCAGCTTCCAGTTGCCGTTTTTGTTCTTCTAAAACCTGTAATTGTTGTTGCTGTTTCTGCTTTTCCACTTCGATTTCTTCGTTCACTTTGAGATTACTTTGAAATTTACGATCTAAAGCAATTTTAGAAGCTTCAAGCATTTTCAATTGACTCTGTTCGGATAACTGTTTGGCATCAGTTTCCATTTCCTGTTGCAGCTCTGTGTAGTGTTTGTGCATTGCATCGCGTTCGCTGGCATCAAGTCGATGTGTGGGTGAACAAGTAATGGTCTAGAAGGGTAAAGAGGACAAATATCTTAGCTACAAAGTGAAACTGGGTGTGTTGGTGTAGTTTACCTCATTTGTTATAGAAAGATTTTTAAGCAATCGTTGCACATCAAACTGCAAAATAAAATATTTACAATTGCACAGCACACGTAAAAGCGCAAAATCAAAAAGAAAAATATACACAACCAGTGATAAATATGTGATTTCATATAAGCAAAATATAAATATTTAAGAAATAAACATTTCGGTTGAATTGCAAAAAAAAAAAGTATAGAGCACATCAATTACAACGTTAAATAAGTTTTTTCTTATTGTTTACTGAAGTATGTACCTCCTCTCCAGCGCCTGCTCGATTTTCGCTACTCGCACTCACAGCATTGGAGTCGCCATATTCTAACAATGTCATACGCACACGCGTCTTTTCATCTTCGTGGCTATTTTCTTTGCGTTGATATACGCGTATGGGATTGTATAGCTCCTATTGACAATTGGGAAAAATTTGATTAAAAAATTTTGGAAAATAATCTACTTTTAAAATGTTGTTATAATATACCTGTATGCGTTTTATATGTGTTGAGGCATTTCGAATTTTCTCTAGCTGCTCCTTGTCCGTTCTGTATTGGTAGTGATTGTGAAACTGTCCGATGGCAAACTTTTTCAGACGTTGTGCACGCTCTGTGCGATTCTCAACCTAAACAAAATATTTATTAATTTCTTCTCTTTCGATATGCTTGGTGTTTATGCTCACCGATTTTTTAACCAGCCACTGTATAACAGGATGTATGCTAAGGAATTCCAGTCCTTGAATTTGATGTGGTTCTATTTGAAAAGGGCACTTCATATGTGGTAATACCGAGACAATTTTTTCTACAAGTGCACTAAATGTAGAAGATGAAACAATCACTAATAATATGCACACAAGTAATTATTCAAAAACAGATTACAAATTATGTAAAAATTATGATAAAAATAAAAAAAACACATAAGTATTTATGTACACACTAATGTGTATGCGTTATTAAAGTTTCTACTCACATCTTTTGACCAATAGTTAAATTTTCGTGAAACAATAAATCCACATCAACATCATAATCACAGCACTCAATACACCAAGTCATACCACCGACAACTTTATCGAAAGAGGACAAGCCTTTGATGCGCGCTCTATAATAGCCGGCAGCTACCAACATATCAAATGTTTCTTGTTCCTTCGCTGTAGCGTCAATATCTTCACGTCTCTCCACCTTAATTTGTTATATATGACACATTTGTACAAAGTTATTAAATATCTTAATTATTTACCACTCACCTGCACTTCTCGCCCCTCTGCGTCGATTCGTGTGGCCAATTTAACGTTTGGCAAATGTTTCGAGAATATATCACGATTGGACGCCATTGCAGAACGCCCACTTTCATTACTTTTACGCAAACACTCTTTAAATCGTCTACTGATTATTTATCAACAAACTTTTCTTTTAAAATCAAGCAATTGGCATGGATTAAAATGTTTTCTAATCAACTGTCAGTGTGATCAGCTGGGGAACGTGAGTGTGAATGTGATATATTTCAAACAGCTGTTTAGGGGTATGACGGCAGTGAATTAAAAAATTCTACAAAATAGATAGATATATGATCAAGTTCAGAATGTTGGAATTATGAATACAGTTTTCTCCCATATTATTATAAAATTAACTTCGTTATATCATGTTTCGTTGACGGTTATGGTCAGATTTGTGTATCACTCCTCATTTTTTACTTTGGAGTAGTCAGGTTCTGTACATTTACATAACCTTTTTTAGCTTTAGCGTTGTAGGTCAACTTGCTTAAATAAATTTACATACCATCAAGGATGGTTCCTGAAAATATCATTTAAATAGCCACCTGTGCATAGAGTTGGATTGAAACGAACACTTATGTTGTTTAATTATATAACAATAATCTCAACATGAGTTAGGGAAAAATAGCGTTTTCGTTTATGGTGTACCTCAAATCTTACAGTAGTTGTTTAGATTAATTTCAAGGAGCAAATCACCTCAAACAAATCCCATTGTCAATAGTCCTTTTTCAATATAACATGAATTTATCGACACTTTGCAACCCTAAAATGACCAGCCAGTCTCTTTCGCTCTCTCTCTCAAACCTCGTGCCAATTGTTGTTATTTTTCGACAATTTTTATTGAATGGATTGGCGTCTAGCCGGCAAAACGTGGGTGAATCCAGAATTGCAAATTTATTCGAATTCAGAACCAAGTGACAAATAAATTCCATAATTTAAGATTAGTAAATTAAAAGTGAAAACAATGCCTTATCTCTGCTTACTACAAGAAGGCAATGAAAGCCTCCCGCGCCTCATGGACAAAGCTCAACAAAACGGTTATGCAGTCATAGCAGCACCAATAAACACCACTGAAATACCATTGGAGTATGAGGAAGCGCCGATATGTGACAAACAAGCAGAATTCACTTACCCGGATCTAATCTTCCCATCAGATCACTGGAATGGTAAAGTGATAAATGTGCTGTCAGACACCATGGATTGTGATGCTAGGGACATGGTGGTGCGGCGTAACGCGGAAGAAGTGCTAAAACGTGATATTTCGTGGGCAGAGCATCTACAATATGGTGGTTACACTATGCTCCGACTAAAATCTGGAAATAATCTTAATATGGCACGTATAGCATCTAGTAATGTAAAGGGTAAGTCTACATATAAATGTACATATGTATGTATATATAACTTTTTATTTGATTCTCTGAAAACTAACGGTAATTGTTTATTTTTATATATTTAAATGTACATGTTTATAGGTTTGTTGCTCGCGCAGGTACCGTTATATAATGCAAAGGTGGCACATTCCACTTGGCGACGAGATATTAACGATGCAGAGTTGGAGCGACTCGAACAAGAAGACACATGGCACTGGTGGAACAACTTTCGTTGGGCGGCAGACTTCAATCCAAAAATAAAAGTAGTACTCGAGTTATGTGAAAGTGATCGTCCATCATTGGAGGTTGTGCGGCGTTGGTTGGGAGAGCCAGTGGAAGCTGTAATCGTGCCCTCCACCATGTTCATCTGCAATCGTCAAAACTATCCGGTGCTGCCAAAAGCGTGGCAAGAAATTTTATCTTATTTTATGCGCGCACGGGTAAACATTATCATCTCCTCCGATGTGCATGACAACAGCTTAAAATTATATTCTGAGTATATGCTGCGATTTCAAGAAATACACGCTGATGTGCATGAACTGCAGTCGTGAGTTGTTTATTTGTAAAAAAAAGAACCAACGGTACTTAAATACTTAACGAAAGTTTGATACATCTTTTTGTATAGCTTCGAAGATGTCTTGGAAGAGCCGCTTCAGCCTCTATATGACAACCTGGACTGCTATACTTATGAAGTATTCGAAAAGGATCCAGCAAAATATAAGCTATACCAGGATGCTATCGAGCAGGCCCTCCTTGATCGTGTGCCCGATGCGGAAAAGAAACAAAAATTGGTGAATTACCTGCGCAAATTACTAAAAAATGTTAAATAAACGAGTTTTTTTCTACAGACTGTTATAATGGTGTTGGGCGCAGGACGTGGTCCATTGGTGCGTTCGGCTTTAAATGCTGCCGAAAACACTGGTCGAAAAGTGCGCGTCTACATTATAGAGAAGAATCCCAACGCCATACGCACCTTGACGGCTATTGCGAAAAAATTATGGAATAATAAAGGTATGCTGCTGTAAATATATTTGTTTCTCTTTGGCACAATTTTATGATATCTCTTAATTTTTTACTATACGCAGATGTGCACATCTTTTCCAAGGATATGCGTGAATTTTCACCACCAGAACCAGCGGATATACTTGTGTCCGAACTATTGGGTTCATTTGGTGATAATGAACTATCACCAGAGTGCTTGGATTGCGCACAAAAAATATTAAAATCCGATGGCATAAGCATTCCATGCAAATCTACCTCTTATATTAATCCAATAATGTCCTCGAAGTTATTAAATGGCGTACGTCAAGTTTTGCGTCATGAGACTTTTGGTCGCCAAAAACAAGCCACCTATCATACACATGCCGAAAGTGGTTTTGTTGTGTTACTTAAAAATATTTACAATATTGGTTTACCACAACCATTATTCGAATTTGTACATCCAAATCCCCAGAAACCAATCGACAATAGTCGCTATAAAGTTTTACGCTTCGAAGTGATCATGGATTGTGTACTCACAGGCATCGCGGGTTACTTTGACACCGTATTATATAAGGACATTAAATTGAGCATTAATCCGGAAACACATACGCCTGGCATGTTCTCTTGGTTTCCTATGTACTTTCCATTCTCGGTAGTTTATTTATTTTTTGAGGAAATATTAATATTTTACATCATGTTTTGATTTATTTTTCTAGGAACCTATGGATGTGAAGAAAGACCAAACAATTGAAATTCATTTTTGGCGCTGCGTAACAAAGCAGAAAATCTGGTACGAATGGTGTCTGGCTTCGCCATTCCACACACACATACACAATCACGGAGGCCGTTCATGCCCAATCTATTGTACATAGAGAGCTCGCTGCAGAAACGAAGTTAAAAATGTTAAGAATAGAAATAAAAACAGGTTGACAAATTTAAAACGATTGTAGTTGTTTTCAAATGGCCATTGAATTGAATTTATGTATAACATATTGCATATTGAAATTGACTATTAACGGTCTGAAAGGGAATGCCGAAGAATTTCTTTATGTTAATATGACTGCTAAAATTCTGACAACAAAATTACATATACTTTTGCCCCTATTTCGCTGTACTTTTTGTAAATGAAATATTCTATTGAATTGTACTATCTTTAATGATTAATTGCACAATAAGTTACCATATTTTATTGTACAGTTAAGGTAATTTTATTTAATTTATATCTTATTATATAAAATTTATTAAACATATGATGTGTGGAAATTGTAAGCATAGCCAATTTTCCAATAAAAATATTTATATTAAAAAAAAAAACTATTATACTTCTGAAGTAAATAGGTAAAAACTGGATAGAGTGGTCTCGCTGCTTGCTAAAACTGTGGAAATCAGCAAACAAATGATATCTCTTTTTCTCCCCCCAGTAGCGAAGGCAACCGTGTTCCTTCCGTCTTTCAGACACCATCTCAGCCCAACAGCACGTCAGCGTGTCTAGATTTGTAAAAAGCTGTACACACGGTCAACCAGTGCTACAATCGGTGATTGGGAAATCTCCATTACCTCCGTTTCTGAAGAGAAGAGCCATGAATTATCTGAGTCGGTGATTGACCCATGAGGTCAAAACTTTAAACTCCATATAAGTAAACAAGGGGTTTACATATCCTCGACCACCATTCTCAGCAGTTGGATGAAGGAGTACCGGCTCGTGGTCGATAGCGTAAAAATTCCGACAGTAAATAACCCCAACTTACAGCTTGCATTCCTCCTTACAGGGCCGCAAACAAAGCCCTCAAATCGTTAGTCACCAGCTCTTGAGGAAAAGACATAGAAATTTTGCTCTCCACATACAAGACAATTGGTTGGCCCGCCTTAAATTACGCTGAACCAACTAGCGGGAACTAGTGTGACGCAGTTGGATGGGCTACAAGCACGTCAAAGCACTCTTGACATCACTTATTCTATAATAGAAACCATACAGCAATTGAGAAAAGAATCGTTTGACAGGACGACATATCGACAGACTTTAAGCGTCATTCACTTGGAGTTCGTCAGCATCTTTGTGACAAAGCTACGAGTACAAGTATCATTAGACATTTAGAGATTCATGATCCATATACAATTTCAAGATGGTGAAATAGATCTGGCCCTAGTATGACATAACCAAACAATAACAAAATACCCATTTGGAAGGTCAAGGAAAAGTATATATGGACTAACAGTCGATATAACGGGTAATTTGGCTTTGGAGAGCTTGCATTGAAAATGGACCTACCCTATAACAGTCGGTGAGGAAGCTTTCTCTATTACTACCCAGCTCTATTTCATATTCAACACAAAACATTTGGAATACATCGAATATCAAACCTTGAATGGCTGTCCATAAAGAGCTTATTGGATATAAAGTTTCATCGAGAACACTGAATGGTTTGAATGTAATAATGAAGCTTCATAGCACATGAGATCGAGGCTTAGATCCTTCACTTGCACTTTGTTACGGGTTCCACCGTCGGGAATTTCATCACCTACACGGCAACAGTAACTCTTGCAATAAAGGATTATACCTTCCCTGTTTAGCTCTACAGCTCATATTATTTCCTTCAGCAATAGATTACAGAAGTAACACGATAAAGACTCACCTTCTCTGAAGTGTCGTTTGGTAACGAACGGCTCGGTGTAGTGCTTCCCGATTCTTCCCGAAACTGCGTCACTATACACAGCTTCAGACCTAGTGGCGTAGAGTCACACCTAGTGGCTGTTAAAGGCCGTTTAATTCTTTAGGGACAATCGCTATTCGCACTTTTGTCATAGTCGGGCAGGCAATAGAACGTCTATTCCATCATCATCGATAGAGAATTCGGGTTAACCACTTGAGGGTGGATCTCTGGAACTGGGTCTCTTTCATAGAATTGCCGAGCATCACTATCAAGCTCTTCATACTCGCGCATTTCGCTTTCTCTATTTTTGTGTGTACTTACTTTCCTCTTCTACTCTCGAAATCCCTCCTATACAGCACGCACTGCGGTCAATCGAAACGTTTCGAGTAGGTAATCTTTTTTGTCTTTACTATGGTGCGGCAACTTTCATCGTTCCAGCTATTAATTTCGCTATCCTTTGTGAATCCGGCTCTCAGACGTTGACATATTTTTAGTACGCCTAGGCGGATGCGTATCCTACCTGTGTGTTGTGGTCTGAGTCGATATTTAGACCTTGTCTAGAAAACTGGGTACGTGTCTTCCGTCTATCACAACATAGTGGATGTGATAGAGTTCTTTGATTCGGCGACAAATATGTGAGTTTTTCGATTCTTTTATGCTGGAATCTTGCACTACAGGCGACCATATTTCGAACCTGGTCGATATGTGGCACAGTCAATCAACCTCAACCCATTTGGTGATGCTGATTTATCAACTGTTGTGCCAAAAATACCATCACGCATGATTTTGATTTGCGGGGTCATGCCCATAGATGCATTATAGGTGATCACGGTACGTAGCCATACCCTGCGGGTTAGGGGCTCAAGAATTTACCCGCGGTAAGGCCTGCCGGTCGTAAGAGGCGACTAAAATCCAATAGTTCCCGCGACAGTCGGGTCTTTATACCGGAACGACCCAGATTTTTACCCGGCCAAGGACTGTCACTCCCGCAACATTCCCCATAAAGTACTTTGGGGAATAATTTTGCGTTTACAACAACAACAACAACATGGTACTTAGCTTTGGACACTTCCTCCTACTCATCGGGCGGTGCGATTTGTTTAAAAAAAAATCTTGCTCAAGAATTAGTCTCTTCAACCTAACCTCACACCTCACTTAACCTTTGAAGAGCCTCAACATTTTCCTCTAACATTTCAGTGAGTTATATTCAACAAAATGTAAAAGAATACAACTGAGTTATGAATTTCATTTCAAGTTGGTATCAAGTTTTTATGTGAAATTTATTTTAATGAAAACAAGAGTTCATTTTTCATATTTTTTATTATCATTTCAGATCTCTTTGTATATACATATACTATGGTTTTTTGGTGATTCTTCTTCTTCTTTTTCTGTTATGATTACTCATTTTTATGTTCAAATTATTACTTCTTTTCTACATACAAACTTTGAATCCTGTTGCCGCGTAATTTATGCTCCGCATTTGTGTAAATATATATGTATGTGTGTGTGTTTGTGAGTAAACAAATTATTGATGGAGGTATATATGTATGTATGTATATATCATTTTTTAATTTTTAATGAATTCGCTTTGAGAAACACATGGTTTACATACATACATACATATGTATGTATTGTATATGTATAATTTCAATTAATATTTTAAATTTCTAACTTCATTTATTTTTTGGATGTATGTATGTATGTAATAGCAAAAAACATTGTGCACAACACGACGCTGCCCGAGTGGCAAGACGACAGCGACTGTTCCATTACGGTGCTATATCTCAATATGTATGTATGTATGTATGCGCATCCACATTTTGCTAATTAATTTTATTTCATTTATTTATTTATTTTTTTATAAATTTTTCTGCTCGCTTTAATCTAAATATCGAATTAATAGATACAACGTGGCGTTGAGTAAATTTGATTTGAAAGCACATTTGCATCTTAACGCTGCTGGCATAATTTATAGTTGCACAAATAGTTAATTTCCTTTTACTACTACTAAAGAATGTTTTTTTTTTGTTTTGTTAATTAATTAAATTTTTTGTTGTTTTATGCTGTAGTTTACTCATTGCACTTACAAATATATTATATTGCAAATATTTGCAATTTATTAAAGCAGCGCGTGCGAAACGTGCTAATTTTTTTTTTAATTTTTTAACTTTTTTTCAATATTTAGATAAATTTTATTTATTCAAGTCTGAAATTTTTTAGTTTGTTTTGTTTTTTTTTTTTATTTATTTTTATAGATTTTTTTGGATGCTTTTATTTTGCTTTTATATAAAATTGGTTACAACTTTTATTTGTAATGGAGTTAAGAGTAAAAAATATTATTTTTATTACACATTGAAATTTTTGCTGCTTTTCATTTGTTTCAGTTGTTAATTAATTTTTTTTTTAATTTTTTCAAATATGCTGCTACAAGAAATAAGTTCAAAAGGCATTTTAGAAATGAAATGGATTCTGTATGTAGTCCTTGACCAACAGTCCTTCATGCGACTACTTTTTAGACCACTTATCAGTGATAACATCAATTAAAAAATCGGCAAGGAACTCTTTCCAAACCTACTTTGAGATTTTTCTCTTGCAAACGCCTAAAATTATGCTACGAAAAATGAGATAAGTTAAAAAAATTTTTTTGCGTTTGAAATACGAGTATTTTCCTTTTTGTTATGTTGAATTTTTAAACGCTTTACAACAGTTTCTATTATTTAAAAATTAATTTCTCTTCATTAAAAACATACAAAATAAAAAATTAGCAGGAAGCTGGCGCGTGAAAACCCAGCATTATACTCTGCAAGCAGATAAGCGAATTTTAAAAAGAATTAAGCATTTTTATTGAATTAATCTATATAGCTGGGTGTTTTTTTTTTCCAATAATTATTGCTATGCAACAAAAACTACTTATCTTTAAGTCTTCTTAGAATATAAAATCGTTACAATTGAAATCAGTTTCCACAGTGATCCAACATAAAAACACTTTTGGTTGCCGTTAAAGCGTGTTTGTATAGAATATGGAATGAATTTGAATATATATTCAAATAATATAAAAAAATTAAAATATATGAAATAATATAAATATTAAAAATTCTTCAAAAATTTATAAAAATACTTAAAAAAAATAAAACATATAAAAATAATAAGAGTATAAAAAATATGTTTAAATATACTTCAAAAAAATTACTTAAAAAAAAAAATATATATATAAATGAGTATATTAAATAAAAAATACTTAAAAATATATAAAAAATTATATTTTTACAAAAAAATATTCAAGCTATGTAAGAACTTAAAAAAAAAATTCCTAAAAATAAATAAAGATTTTCAGAACATAATAAAAAAATAAAATATATATAATATTAAAAAACCTATTTTAAAATATAATTAAAAAAAATATTAAAAATATAAAAAATACTTCAAATATATATAAAAATACTTTAAAGAATACAAATATATAAAAATAATAAAGTATATAAAATACAAAAATATATAAATATACTTTAAAAATATAAAAATGACTTCAAAAACGAAACTTAAAAAAATAAATTTATATAAATAAAATAAATATACATAAAAAATATATAAAAATACTTGAAAAATATATAAAAATGCTTTGAAAAATAAAAATATATAAAATATAAAAATACACGTATATAAAAAATTAAAAATTTTCAAAATAATTATAATAAATAAAATATTTATAATATTATAAAACGAGTTTTAAAAATAATTAATAATAACTTAAAAGAATATATAAAAATAATTATGCATAAAACATTAAAAAAATAAAAAAAAAAAATAATTAGCAAATAAAAGAGTTAAAAATACAAAGTATTATATAAATATAAATGAAAAAGTAAAAATAATACAAACATTTAAATAAAAAAAAAACATAGAAAATATATAAAGAAAATTAAAAAAAAATAATAAGAAAGACATAAAAAAAAAAAACTAACTAAATTTCAAAGGTAATTAAGGAAAGAGAAAAAAAATTAACAAAATTAAAAAATAAGTATATATAAAAACTGAAATAAAAAAATTAAATATACATAAAAAATAAAAATTTTTCAAAATATTAAATTTTTATTAAACAAATACAATTATACATATATATAAAATACATATATATATCTAAAAAATGTTTAAAATTAAAAAAAAAATATTTAAAACAAATATAAAAAATATTCAATATATATAAAAAAAAAATATTCAATATATATAAAAAAAAAAATATTGCAAATATATAAAAAAATGTTCGAAATATATAAAAAAAAAATATTCAAAATATTAAAAAAAAGTAAAAGTAAATTTAAATATACATAAAAAAATTAACAATTAAAAAAACATTAAAAATAATATATAACAAATTCAAAAATGTTAACATATTAAAATAGAAAATTCAAAATAAACATTTAAAACAAATAAAGATAATTGAAAATTTAAATTTCTTGATTTAAGAAAAAAATCAAGTTTTAAAATACATATAAAGATATAAATATACTATCAAAAACGCTAAAACAATAAATAATTAACTTAATAATTAATGAGAAAACATGAAATCTACAAAAAATAAACTAAAATTTATAAATACGTAAAAAACAAAAAAAAAAAAAACAAACTAAGCATACAAGGTAACTAAAATGTAGACAAAAAAAAAAAATACTTGTCAATATTAAATAATAAAAACTATGAATAATTTCTTAAACGCAAAAATTATTATAGAAAATTTATCAGAAAAAAATAAGCTTAATTAAGGAATGCATAGTTTTAAGAAACTTTTATGTAAACATGTTGTAGTCATTTACACAATAGTCGAAGGCATTTTTAACAAACAAAAAATGTAATCCCTATTTTGTTTTTGAGCAAATTTTCAAAGGCACAAATTGTACGCGTCACTGCATGCAGCCAACAGCAAAACACATCTCATGGAATTTTGCGCCAGGCAAAATTATGCTTTTGCTACTGCTGCATATGTATCTGATACTCAAATACAAGCAATGAATGTAAAATAAAAACACAGAGAGCAGCCAATGTTTACACACACCCACCCGCCGTTGAGGTGGAACAACACTGCTGCGAGCGCTGAAAATTTAATAAAACATAAAATTATTAATATAAAATTAAAAATTCCTTACCACACTTCTCAGGTAGAAAATAATAATTGGAAACAGCAAACATACCTTTCACATAGCAACCAAAAGCGATGCCTCGCACATTCATTTCTATACATTTTACATAAATACAAATGCATAATGTTTGTATTTTATTGTTTTTTTTTCTCGATTTTTTTTTGTATTTTTTTAATTTAAATCTTTTTATATTTTGTATTGTTTAAAATTATGTGTATATTTATATCATTAGTTGTTATGTTTGTTTTCATATTACAATTAATTATGTGTTTCATGTAAAATAAATAATAATTATTTTTGTTTTTCTCTAAATAGAAATATTAAATCATTTGTTATTTGCTTCGCCATTCCTAGAGTACTTGCTAAGAAATACGATACACCACCATGCTGCAATGTATTTTTAACATTTCATTCATTTGCCTGCCCTCGTTGCGCTCCATATACGACAAATGTTTAATATTTCGCCCATTTTCCTTATCTCACCCTTACTTCTTCGCTGTGCTTGCATTATTTATTGCAAATTTGCAAATAAATTTTATTTTAATTTCTTTTTTTTTGTTTGTTTGTTTGTAAAAGCATACGTATTATATTAAAAAATAGTAGCATTCAATGTGGTACATTGCACGCCTTACGAGTTAACAGCACTTGCTTGTGGCATTTGTCCGCCTATAACACTGCCACCACCACCGCCGCGTATGGAAATGTTGCCCTGTCCGGCGCGTATAGGTTTGGCGATTTGTGCCTGTGGGCCGCGACGTCCGAGATGCTTCTGCCGCACCGCTTCCTTAATGCGATCCACTTCGTATTGGTAGCGCTTACGATCGCGCATCGCACCTTCTTTGGCCTCCTTGAGCGCCGATTCTAACGCCTTGACACGTTCCATTGTGGTGCGCAGACGTTTCTCCAGTTTGGGCAGTTCACAACGCAGATCGGCATTGTCGCGCACCAATTGCTTATGCACCTTTGTCAGTTGATCCAGATTATTTTCGAGGAAGGAGATTTTCTGTTTTTGCGCCAATGAGCAGCCATCCTCTTCGTTGTCTTCGTTGATTACGGTCTTCTTGATGCGTGCCTGTTTGGAAAGAGGAAATTTAAGATTTGCAATAATATTTTTTTGATTCAGCAATATTAAGTACCTGTAAATCTTGTACGAAGAGTTTTCTGAGGTTATGTAGGGTTTGTAATTCCTTTGCCACGGTATCTTCGAGACCTTTCAAGTCTTTGCGTGCCTGCTCGCGCCGCTCGTTGGTCAGGATGATGTCTTGTAGCTTGTTGGACTTGTCCGCTTCTTCTTGCTTCAACTTCTCATAGTCGACCGTCATCTGTTGATGTGCCAAAATCAATTTCTGGTGCACATCCTTCATCTCGTTCATCTCATGCTGCTTGGCCAGTATCTCGTCACGCAATTCGGATACTTGTTTGGTGTGCGCTTCACGCAGCTCATCCATTTGCGAGTCGAACATAGAACGCAATTCCTCCGCTTTCTGTTTCTCTTCGGCGTTAACAGCGGACACATGCTCGGCTGCCTTCAATTTGGCGCATTCCTCGCGCAACGAATCGATTTGCTCCTCTAGCGCGCGTTTCTTATTCTCAGCCTCGCGCATCGACTCCTGTAGCGACTTCATGCGTGCCTCATGTTGCGAGATCAATAGACGGTATTCGCCCAAGTCCTTTTCGTACTCGGATAATTTCTTGTTCGAGTCAACTTGTTGCGTTTCCATGTTACTACAACGTTGTGCCATATTCTTGGCCTCCGTCTTCATTTTACTGATGTAAAGACGCGCCATCGTAAAGTCTTCCTCTACTTTGGTCGAATCGCTAGCACCGGTGACAGTATTCATTTTCATATCAACACCAGAGTCGCCAGTAGCCAACGCTTGACCGACTTCGGCAAGATCACGCAAAAGATTGCTCAACATCTCATTGATGCGTTTCTTCTGATGCGATGACATATCCTTCAATTGCTGCAGCTCTGACGTTGTGGTGCTGAGTAGCGTCTGCTTTTGTTGCAATTCCTCGTTAAGAGAATCGATGTCCTTGTTCTTGGTGTCGATTTCCTGCGACTTTTGATCGTAGTTGACAGCCAATTCCTCAAGAGCTTGCAGCACTTCTTTCACCTCTTCCTTAGCCGATTCGTTCTCCTGCTGAATACGTGCCATCTCCGATTGCAACGCCTCATATTCGCGACGCGCATTAGCAATGAGCTCCTCTTGCTCCAAAATCTGATCTTTCAGATTCTCAACATATTGGCTCTGCTGGTTAATCTCCTCATCCTTTTCATCTAGCTGCTGGTAGAGACGTTCACGCTCGGCCTCCAAACGTGCACGCTCATCGCCGCTAATTGAGCCTACCATAAGACCAGCCGCTGGTGTGGCAGGCACTGGACCGGCAGCAGGCGCAGGCGTCTCCACCTCCAAATTGGGTGTGCTCGCTTCCATAACATCATCCACGTTGACTTGTTCTTCGGCATTAACCGTTTCACCGGCACGCCAACGTGCCAACTCCAATTCCAACTTCTCAATCTTACCCTTAAGACGTGCATTCTTCTCCTTTTCCTTTTCATAACGTCGCTTCCACTCTTCGGCGGTAAGCTCCTCATTGACGCAGACAACATTCTTAACGGTCTTAGCACGACGACCGAACTCTAATGTTGATTTCGTTTCAGCCTCATTGAAACTAGCTGGTGAACAACAAATTACAATGGTGGTGCGTGCATTACCACCCAATGATTCTTGCAAGATACGCGTCAACTTGGAATCACGATACGGTATGTGCGTCTTATTGCCGTCCGCCAGTGCTGAGATCACATTACCCAAGGCCGACAAGGATTTATTAATATTTTTGGCTTCATCCAGCACGGTACCCTCAGCGCCGGTTTTCGATACCTTCTCCGAACCAGCCAAATCCACCAAATACAATTTACCGGAAAGTTTCTTTTGATTCTCCAAATTCTCCTGTTTCACATTGATTAAGAATACTGAATGCGAACGTGAAGAGTGCTCATTCATGTCTGGAAAGGGAGTAAAAAAAAAAAAAACGCAAATTAATTTATAACATTCAGCTCGTTTGCTCGAAGTCTATTATGTACTTACTTGTTACGGCAATATGCCGGTTCGATTTTCCCTCCTCAATGACCTCGAACACATCTTCGGGCGAGGAAACAAAACGCTCTGTAGCGCCCTTCACATACGGCACACGATTTTTATCCTCATGCACGCTCAGGTTCACTTTGGAGACGTCCAGTAAATCACGTATTTTATCCATATAGATTTCATAGTATGAGACCTTAATGTGGAACTCGAGATTCATCTCCATTGTATAGATGTGATTGAAGATATCGTTGACAATGCGCGGTATGATACCCTGCTTCACCGGATCGCCGAGCACACCCTCCATGGTGTGTGTCTTACCGGAGGATGTTTGACCGTAGGCAAAAATTGTACCGTTATAACCGGCCAACACGTCTGTAACAATCGACTTGGCGGCCTCATTGTACACTTTCTCTTGGGATGCATTTGGTTTGAAAACTTTGTCGAACAAATATACTTTGCCCTGGAGGAGAGAAAGCAGAAAAGAAATTTGAAGAAAAAACACAGCAAATAATAAAGTAATTATTCTAATTCTATTGCAATAAACATTACGGTAACCAAAGTCCGGTAAACCAGCGGATCAAGGCGGTTTGGACGAGGACTGATAATAGATGAACTTATTACAAAAGGACAGTGACAGTTGTTTGTGACCTTCAGCGGGCTGATCAGAAAATGAGGTGTTTAACGGAGCGTGTAAGATAAGACGGTGCAAAAGAGAAGTGGTTAAGTGACGCGCGTGTACTCTTGCTGAATATGTGTTAACTATGTCGTGTCAAGTCTGGGTAGACGGGATGCTAAGTTGCGAAAGAGCCCAGTGCTTAATTGTACCGGCTTTAAGCAGCAAAGGGCTTTCGTGAGGTGTAAAAATAGGTGTTTGGACTCTAAAACACATCATGTGGCAGCAAATAGTTCAGGTAATGTTTGACCGCCTATCTATGAATTGCGTTCAAAGCCTGCCTCGTTTCGTCCTAAGAGGAACAAAGACATACCGAGTTCATGTAATCTCGAAAACTTTGTATATTTAGCTTAAATAGACGTGTCTCCTGATGACGTGTTTCTGGAAATTTGATCTCGAAATTTCATTGATGCGTAACAAATAGCCCGCCTCTTCGGTACGAAGATACATGATTATTTTTGGGTAGCATCATAGCATAATAAATCAGCCGAGTGGATAGGAATGCGAGCTACTGTGCGGATGATCTGGTGTTCGATCAATTAACAGACCTCCCTTCGAGCGCAGTGACATAAAATAAAATAAATTGTAAGCAAACTTCAAAGAGCACACCACATTGTATACCTGCCTTGAAACCAGGGCCTCTGGCATTGTCCGCCCAGCCTTTTGACTAAAACTCTTCCTTCACCTGGCATTGTAATGTTCCATGATTCGCATGCAGTTTAGGAACAAATGAAGCCAGTCAATTTTATCGAATTTTTATAACGGGAATCCTCGTGCTATGAAGAGGGGGTTTAGATGAGACGGTTAAAGAGATCATGAAAATAAGAAGTGGTTACATTGGGTACGACTGGATTGAGTATAGGTAACTCGAGCTCGTCGCCTGCATTAGGCGATGGTAGTGTTCAGGTAGCCCTGTTCCTGAGAAGGGAGTGGAGAAAGGACTTTATTGACTACCAGTGAATGACCTTTCTGTAAACCATCGTGTCCAGTTGTTCTGTTAAGCACTGCTGTATTCGGTTCGTGAAGCTAAGTGCATCAAACCATATGCTTTCGGGATAGCTTTGCATCGAGGAAGGCAAAATATCGCAATTAAGGTAATGCACTAGCAGTAAGGTTTTCCATTATGGGAATCAAGATATCTAGTTTCGTTGCTCTACTTCCCGTCGTCGTCGTCGATGTTGTAACGGTTCGCTAATCTCGCTTAGGAGCAAGCCATATCAGTGTATGTCGGCGATGTCATCTAACAGGATGCGCAGGGAGGGAGTACTATTTCGATGGGACCAGAGAGAAAGGGATTAGGTGAGATGGCTTAGGGGCTGGTGTAGTGCGGAGACTCATTTCATGCAGGACAAACGTTGGATATGTCGAGATAAAGCATGGATGGGTAGGAGTTTAATCTCCTGCAATATCCAGATCTAAGTTGCACCCAACAGTTCGTGTTCTTCGTCTGCAATAGGTGGTAGTTTGACTGCGAGAACGTCATTCACTAGAAGATTGTTCAGGAGGTTGCTGGCGGACTCTCGATGAATGCCATTTAATGCCTTTGGGTAATACCAGTTGTTACAGGTGGTGCTGAACGCAGTCCTTGGAGTTAAGTATTCCCTTTCTGATATACCTAGGTGGTGATACAGGTAGTTAGAGCATAATTGGTTGGTAGGTACAGCCAGCCGGGCGTGTGAAGTGAAAGGGTGCAGGCTGTCAAGTGTCACCCTCATAAACTTTGGTTTACTTAGAATGTTAACGACTCTCGACACCCGATCTAGTCGGTACTCATTCTTCCTACTATTAAAATGAGACTCACACAGGTGATGTGAGCAACCTCGTGATATAAAGATTAAATAACAATGGACTGATAACCACGTTTAGCTTATTGAGCTTTTACATTTTGAGGGAACCTCGTAACTGCCAATTATTACCGTTGTTAATGCATTTCATTCACGACGGCCCAGCAACATGCCTCAGCAAGCGTAATAAACAAACCCGTATTTGAGATCAACAGTTTTCCGTTTATCGTCACACAATGACTGATATATAATGTATATATATATGTGTGTGTACACAAATAGTGAAGCTCACCCACGCGCAACACAGCTGTCGTCAACTATGAAAATGGAAAGTAGCAAAAAAAAAACCTCTGCCGCCCAACTAAGTTCCATTAAATACCGTTGTGCATATGCCACGCTGCTTTGTTAAGCGAAAAGCCATAAGTTTTTCCTTTTTTTTTTGTTTAATGCAAACGATTGCATCCTGCTGACCTACTTTTTAACGGTATACCGTCATATAAATTCATATGTTTGTGCAACGTGGTATATAAAAAACGTTGCTGTTGTTGTTATCAAAAGGGCGCATAGCAATTTTAAGGATAACTATTGTGATGCATTTTTGATTTTGATTCAATCTTTTTTCCTTTTCACTTGGAGGGGAGAGAGCGTGCAACCATAAATGGGGTGGTGGCAACGCATGAATGAATTTGATTTGCATTCGTGGAAACGCGCCATCATTAAATGCATTTTCCACTGCACTCTCACGTGAGAGGAGAGCACTCACTCTACACTCGATATGCCATTCGGCATCAATCACATATTGTAATCATATTTTCACTCTTTGTTTTATATATATATATATAAATATAAATTATTTATACGCTAACGACTAACAACTCTTGATACCTGAGCATGCACGAGCGCGCTGCGCTGCTAACCTTCTTACCTGCTTGCTGGCTTTCTGGGAGACACGAAAACACAAAAACCTAACAAATTTGGGTTAAAGACATTAGTCTTGTTAAGCGGCAGGTTGATTGGCAAGTAGAGTACGGCAGAGTAGAATTTCAAACGCACTCACATTTTGGCCGCTTGCCAAGCAAAATTTCACAACCGATAAACAACTACGAAATAGAAGTAGAAGTTGAAAAACAAATATAAAAAAAAACACAAACAATAAATAACAAAACTTAATGCAAATTAAATGGGATGAGATGTTAGAAAAATCAATAATCAGGTTAGGCGAGTGACACAGAGGGGAGCAGGCCAAGTCGAGTAGAGCGCGAGTGGCAGTAAATGATATTTAGTCGCTGTTATAAAATAAATAAAAATATATAAATGAAAGGATGATGACACAAAAATTGCACGGAAAATATTTAAAGATAGAAGAAAGAAGATATTTAATAGTTTTCTTAAGCATTTTTATACTCACATCTCTAAGTAATAGAAACTCTTGTTAATAGCAAATTAAAGTGATAACACTACTAGAGAATTTATAGAATTTAAATTATTAGACGAATTCGTGTGAAATACATTTTACTTAGATAAAAATTCTCATTTTGGTACCAAAAACGATCAACCGCTTTAGAATTCTGTATATTAAAAAGCAGTAAAAAAATGTTGCCTACATTTGGGCGTAAGAAAAAAAGAGGGATTTCATACTGTACTGCTTTGAGAAACAAATTTTGCGTAAATGCAGATTTTAAGTGAATCTTAAGTGCTTAAACGATGCTAGAATTCAATTCTCAAAAAATAGTATTTTTTTGTATTTTCCGAATGTAAATGTACGAGTACTTAAGGGGCACACCTAGTGTGAAATTTCAAAAAATCGATGTTTTTTCGGTAGATTGCACCTTTAAAAATAACATATTAAAATTTCAAATCAATATCTCAAATAGTTTTTGAGTTATAGCAATTTAAAGAGCAGCCGCTCGGCAGCTAGAGAGTCTCGTTAGCTACGAGTGAAAACGATCATTTTATCTTTCAACGCGTTTTTCTCGAAACAGCATTTTCCGTATTAGCAGCAGTGATTACATGTTCTATATATAGTTCTCCGTACAATGACCTATCAATTTTTGATCTGATCAAAAAATCGAGTTTTGCCAGGCCAAAAACGATCAAAATTTTCGGTAAAATTCGACTATTTTTTTAAAACGCCGCCATACCATTAATTTTTGATTTTTTTATCGTAGGTCATTGTACAGACATACAGAATTTCACTGCAGCAGTGAAGGACCCTTTTTCGCGACGTTGGTGATCGACTATAACTTAAAAAATATTTAATTTTTTTCTTCAAAAATTTTAATGTAAATTCTTGAAACATGTATTTATTCTTAAAGTTTAGAAATAATTGATAGCGTTTTTTTTTTAAATAAAAATTCCCAAAAATCATCTTTTTTTTTGGCCATTACACTAGGTGTGCCCCTTAAGTAAATTTTCTTAAAACTTGAAACCAATATTTGATTTCATCCGCATTGAATTTTAAGATTTATTTTATTCTAAAACAAAAAAAGTACGAGTTTCCTCATATTAGTCTAGGGAAGAAGCTTTCTATGTTCCGAACTTGAAGCAAATCCTATCATGAATATTAGTTTTTGAGCAAATCGGGGCCAGATCCACTTCTCGAAAAGAAGCGCTATTTACGTATTAATCTAATTATATATTCAATTCGAACCATAAATACGATTTTTCCAAATAGATCGATTCCAAGTAGGCATACAGAAAGATAAGTTCACCACCTATTAACCTTGGCAAAGAGCCAATTATATATGTTCCACGTATTTAGGAAAACCGAACCATCGCATCAATTCCAAGCCCACTTCCCGGGTTTTCGACATCAATATAGACAAAAAGCGGTCTCTGTACCAATCTTCATGTTTGTATATCGAACTATAAATACATATTTTTCCGAATATATTGACCCCAGACCCACTTCAGGGAGGTAAAAGTTTTGAAGAAGGCAACGCCAATATAGACTCAAAAATAAAAAAATCTTAAATAAAAGAAAGAGAAAATAAATAATACAGA